AAAGGGCTGGAAAGAATGGGAAGAGGGACACAAAAGACTACAGTAATGGGGCTGCAGAGAGGGAAAAGTGAGCTAGGGGAAAGTGAGCGGGGATTGGATAAAATAATGAGATGAATAATAAATAAAATAAGAACCATAGGATTAAAGTGAGATAGATCCAACGGTACATACATTTCACAGCACCATCTGCTGTTTATTACAATTTACATTTAGTCATAAGGGCATTTAGTCATTTAATTACAATTTACATTTTCTTTTATCCACATGTGTCCACATCATCTTTTCATTAAAATATTACTCTATTTAAACACACACATATTGGTTAATCTATATTTATATAATTACTAGCTCATGCATTTAATAAGACATTTAGTAAAATCTATTTTCATTTTCTTCCAAAAGGAGTTACATTTTTTAATTAATTATTCACTAATCTGCTAAAACCGTTACACCTTAATATATATATATATTTATTATTTATTTCTTACATCAGTTACTAAATTAATTCTAAATTTGGTAGCAAAATATTCAGATGTGTAACGGCTAATGTTGGAACTTAAAGTTGATTGGCACATTCACAGCTGTAACCGCTATATTTGGTTACATTGTTGGAAGAAAAATATGATTGACACATATTTTTTTTAAATCAGAAACACCAATAATTTTTTTATTTATGTTAATTTTCTTAATATAAGCCACAAATATATAAATTATTTTATTCATGTTACTAATGTAAACGTTGCATGGTTAAAATAAAATTTAAATCTCAATTAATTTTGAATGATAAAAATAAGAAAAAGTAATAATTTTTATATGATAGAAGTACATGTCTAATTAATAAATACAAACAAAAACATGTTTTATATCTGTGGAAATGCACAGGATCAAATACTAGTTCATTTAAATACAAACATACGAGACCCATTACCCATTGATTCAATATTATTTTTATATTACATTATTAATAAATATAAATATAATTTTTAATTAAAATGCTTAATTTTAAATGATGATAATACAAATAATATTATTAGATAAAAAACTTAAAATAAGGTTATAAATAAAAAAATATTAGAACAGAAAAACTAAAAACAAAAAAAAAAATAGTTTGTAGCAAAATGAGTTCAAATATGTTCAATTAAATCTGCACGAAGTTGGTGATACATTGTTGTAACACCCCATTATTTTTAAAAGAAAAATATCAAATATTCTTCAAAAATCAGAGTTAAATTTTTTGCAATCATTTTAAAAATTTATTTAACGGGCATTACTCAACTTATCTCAATTCAACAGCTTAAGTCCAAACTTAAGCAACTGGGAATCAACCATTCCAGATCAACAATTCAAACCGGACAAGTAAAGCATATTCCAAAAATAATTTCAAAACATTCCTAACATTATCAATCCGATTCATAATTCAAAGCATGCATAATAATCAAGTACATAATCCAGTCTCAAAACCAATATTCAAACAAGTCTGGTAGATGATAACAATAATAATAAGAAAGCGAAAGCAATAACAAATTATAAACACAGAAAGTATAACCCAGCTCGCCCGTCTTTCGCCGCTGCCACCAGCTCAACCTGAAAAAGAGGGGAATAGTGGGAGTGAGCGACCAACTTGCTCACTGTGGGAATACCATGTAGTTTATTAAATATAATGACTAAAAATCATAATCGCCTAGTCTACCTTCTATACAGTCCTACGCTCATGTAATCACATCTAAACCGTCGGAACACCATCAACGGGAGCTAAACCGTCGGAACTCCATCAAAGTGAGAACCTCTCATACACTAATGGTTCACATGCATACATAGATTGTCCAGCCAAGTAATTATATAGACTAACATACACGGTAATGTTTATCAACACCCATCTGATCAGTCGAGATAGACAGATACACAATGATCAGCAGAAGGTAGGCAGAGGGATCGACCCCTCGTTAATATACAATTAATCATATTTATCTTATTAAAGGTTCACAAATACCATAATCCATTAGGGTTAGGAAGACCCTTAAACTACAAAAATTATATAAAATTACACATTAGTCATAAAATTTTGAAACTTAGCATTATAATAACCAACACACTCAAGAATTACCAGTTAAAATTTTAGGTCAAAAGCATGTCATTAGACTGGTCAACTCTGAAGCTAAACATCACATGCAAACATGATATTGACACCTGTTGCTTCAAGAATTTTTCTAAAATTCTACACCTATTATATGAGGCTGATAATTTACAGACATAATAACAACTCATACAAGACATACTCATAAAAATTTCAAACAAATATCATGAGTGTATATTGAGATATCTCGAATCTAAGGGCAGACTGACATGCTGAGACTCTAATATTTGTAAATCACTCAATTCACATCATTTGGAGCTGCAATTTGATACACATATACTCTCAACACATATATAAAGATGTCATAAAAATTTCATATTGATTGCATGATCATAGACTAAGATATAACCATTCAAAGTGGCAGCTAGAAAACAGGGATTTGAACCGAATTGACACATCCGACTTCAAACTGGTCTACAACATGCGATAGTCATCAAAATAATCTGAAATTTGACTTATATGTTTATCATTCATACAAGAAATAGCCTGTAAATTTTCAGTTTTATATCATGATCATGGTCTGAGATTTGACATGCTCAATCAAAACACATATGAATTCATGCACGTGAGACCTTTGATTTTTTTTTTTTTAAGNTACAACTTAATGTTCTCAAGTTTGAAGAAAATCTAGGATAACTAAAAAAAAAAATCCAAAGAGATAAACTCGACAACAGAAAATCGAATTAATTTTTATTGGCGAAGAATCAATAATTTGAGATCACGATAAGTAGATCAACATATCTACCATACGAATTAATTTATCTTATTATATTAATAATCCATAAGCTTCTAAAATAATTTAATTGAACGATTAAAAATAATTACACAAAGCCATACACAACAATAAAAATAAAATCATCCATATATTAACACAAGAATAATGCAAATAAATCATTATAGGCAAAAACGAGCAATTTAATGTAATCGAAGGCAAGGAAATAAATATCATGAAATAAATACAATAATAATATAAAAAGCAAGTAAATAAATAACTAAAGCACGGAATATCATATAACCTTGAAATTCACGATTTGAGCCCTAGACAGGTTGTGCGGGCCTTCATCCTTGTACCAATGTGCTACTTCATCCCCTTCATCTTCAACAATCATACT